ATTGGGATCCATAGACAGGTTATTCGGGGCAGGGGTATGGGAGAGGAGTCCATGTGCAAACTGGTTTGTGTACATGCTTAATACCTTTGTCTTGGGAGCAAAAGTCCACGTTATCATCAAAGGATGGTGAAACCTAAACATGCAAAACCAGTGCTTGTTGCTGTCCACCTGCTGCCCTGAGACCCTGGCAGTGGCAGGCCCCCCTTCTCCCCCTGCAGCCCCCTCCATCTCCCCCCTCTTCAGGAGGCCTCTCCCAGCTTCCTCTGGGCTCCGTTTGATTATGTTAAAAGGAGCTCTGTCTGCAGTATCAGCCAATCCAAAGAGCTAAGGAAAGATCCTTATCATAAGTAAGCACAGCTAGGTCACAGGGACAACAGGGAAAGAGATGCCTGGAACCCAGAACTAGGTCTTTAGTAACTGGCTGGCTGATCCTCTGTCTTTAATAACTAGAGGTAAGAAGATGACCTTTTTAAGTCACTTCCTGGCCTTTCAAAGTGGTTAATGACCATGATCTCTGCTATGAAAACTCCCTTTCCTTTGTCCTGTAAGATGTCTACGCTGTGAAAGGCAAGGGTGGGGGAGTGGGGGTGGGGGTGGGAGGGCAGTCCACAGGTGGGCAATACACTGGCAACAGGGAAGCAATGCTTGGGTGTGTTTTTACTTTTAAAAAATGTAGATTTCTGAAACCATAGAGAACCTATCTTTGAAGAATCATGTCTTCACTCAAATCCAGCCATAGGCATGAAGAGGCGAAAGTATGCTTGAATGATGTCTGAGGCAGAGTTCCATATCATTGCTACATCGTTGTGAGTGAGCCATGAAGTTATTTTGCAACATAAATTTGCCTCTACTTCTGCTCTAGAATAATTGGGGCTTATTTTACATGCCGTGTGACTGCTCTTCCTGGCCTTCCTGCCTGTGTCTGGCAGGGCTCATGCTGACATGAGTCTTCTTCCTAAATGCAGAGCACCTGGTTCGGGGGCAGGGGGCAGCAGCCCAGAGCATGCTGGGGAAGTAGAATGGGAACAAGCATTTGCTGTGGAAAATTCAGAGTTGATGTTCATGGGTAAACCCGGAGCAGATCCTCTACAGCAACTGTCAACTGCAGGAGGGTTTTACAACCAGCTTCTGTTCAGTGTGAACATGGAGTGCACAGACCCAGGCCCAGGGGAGCCCTGAGACCTGCTTCCAGGAGCAGGGGAGGAGAATGAGATACAAATGCTGCACAAAGGCTGATTTCAATGCAGAAAATCGACCAAGGGGGTGGATTTACAACCTCCCATTACATGAGTCATAGATTCAGGGACATTCCATATTCCTTTATCAAGCGAGTGTTTCTCAAGAGCTTCACACACTAGGCACCATGCCACTCAGTGCCAGTTACACCTGAGAACAGAAGGACACATCTTCCAGCCCTCATGGCCCCAGTCTAGTGAGAGATGGACAATAGGCTCAAGTGTGCAGGGCTGTAACAGGAATGACACTTCCAGGGTGTTATGGGGACACAGAGGAAGGACAACCGACTCTGACTGTCCGATGTGGCTCAGTGGTTGAGCGTCGACCCATGCACCAAGAGATCGCTAGTTCAATTCCTGATCAGGGCACATGCCCAGGTTGTGGGCCCAATCCCCATTGGGGGGCATGCAGGAGGCGGCCAAACAATGTTCTATCCCATCGATGTTTCTATCTCTCTCCCTCTCCCTTCTTCTCTCTCTAAAAATCAATAAAGAAAAAAAAATTAAAAAATAAAAGAGAGAGATCATGGAAGCCTTCTTGGAGGAAGTGATGTTGAGGCTGAGGGCTAAGGGATGAGCAGAAGTTAGCTAGGCCAAAGCAATAAAGGGTGACAAGAGGAAAGAATTTCAAGCAGAAAACAGGGTGTACCCTCTCTGGGGCATCTCGGCCATACTTGACAACTAAGGCAAACATTGCATTATTTTTGCTTTTAGAATTGTCGGTTCAGTGCTTAGAATCTCCTAGCCCAGCAGTGGCAACCGGATCTATCCCATATTCTGCATCGGAGTTTTCAAAGTGTGTCCTGGTTTTTCAGTTTTGGAAGGGCTGTAAACTTCTGATGTGACTTTCATTTTTAAGTATTATTTGATTTTTAAAAAGTATTTTAAAATAAACTTATTTATTTTTTAACAGTTTTAGACCATTATTTGATTTTAACTTTATATTGGAAACAATTTCAAACTTAAAGAAAAGTTATAAAAGTAGTGTAAAAAAAGCTCCCATATATTCTTTAACTATATTCACCAATTGTTTACATTTTGCTACATTTGCATTATCTATTTATATCTATCCACCTATGTATATCCAACACATAATTATTATCTTTGCCAAACAATTTGAGACATTATACCTTTTACACCTAAATACTTTAGAGGATGTCTCCTAAGAACAAAGACATTCTCTTACAGAACCACAGCACAATGATCAAATTCAGGAAAACTAACAGTGATGCTAACTATGCTACTATCGAATACACAGACTGTATTCAAATTTCACAGATTCTCCCAATAATGTCCTTTACATTTTTCTAGTTTGAGGTCCAGGCCAGGTCGCACATTGCCTTTAGTTGTGGGGTCTCTCTGGGGCTGGACCAGCACCTCAGCCTGTCTTTGTCTTTCATGCCATTGATATTTTTGAAGAGTGAAGATAGGTTGTTTTGTAAAATGCCCCCTAATGTGGCTGTGTTTGGTGTTTCTTCATGATTAGATTCAGTTGATGCATTTCTGCAGGTGAGTGACATTATGACTTTTTTTTAGGAGATCACATCACTCATGAGATCGGTGTATCTCATTATTAGTGTTGTTAACTTTTATTTTGGTTTTTGGTATATTTTCAACTGCAACACAAACATACATATCCAAATGTGTTTACATTCAAATGTTATCACAAAGGAGATTAATGAGCTAACCTGCCCTACAGTACCTTGTTTGAAGGCAGACTTCAGTGGTTTCTCCTGCCGTCTCTGCATATATTGGAACTTCTTGTAAATGGGTCATTGATTAATGAGACCGTAGCTGTGTTTTGGCCTTTAAAAAGGCTAGATGTGAAATTGTATGAGTAACAAATTATTACCTACTCATGTAAATCAGAATTGTCTTGATACTGTACAACCAAAACAACATACAAAAGAAAATTTGAATCCTAAGGCTGAAGTAAGGTGACAATGAGCCCTGGTAGATGGATTTGGATTCATCAACAGAGCCTCATTTATCTCAATGCCCGATTTTATACTAATTTGGGCTTATTAAATACCCTTCGCCAATAAATGTTAGGTACCTTAGGCTCCTGTATGAGCTATTGATTGAAACAAGAGTTCCCTTGCTTTGGCCATTTGAAAACCGTAGCTGCATATCACTATAAATCATACCCACTGTACAATCTCTTGTTCTAGCAACCCAGTGCTCCGGAAATACACATCTATCCATCTACTAACGGGTCATTGAGTGTGGTCCCTGGTTGCTCCAAACTGTACAACATTTGAGATTTCTTGCTTTTCTTCTTGAAATTCAGTTCTACCTATGTTAAAACACACCGACACAAACATTTTATGACTATACCATACTCTGTGCAATCACCTATTTAGCCACTGACTGACCCACACAAGAGATCCAAGTAAAAGACAATCCTACCTTGGACAGTGTCTAGCCCAGAGGTCTTATTCCACAAACGAGGACACTGAGACCCAGAGAAGTGTCTTGGAAGAAGGAGAGCTGCTGGTGGTAGTCAGACTGCGGTCTGCCTTGCAAGGGGCTGGGGCAGCCTTTTGATGGCAGAGGTGCTCCCGCAGCAGGTGATCAAGCCGCCTTCCCCTCTCTCTTGGCCAGGGTGGGGTGTTGGCAGCTGAAGCAGGCCTTGAGCAGGGTCCTTCAGGATGCGTTACTCCTCTCAAATTCACCCATGGAGCTGGAGCCCATCCAGGTCTTTGGGGGCTTCTAGATTTCCTAATAGATTTTGGAATAGAAGATGGTCCTAACGGAAACACCAGGCAGAAGAGGAGCGGCTTTAGAAAGCCATTTAGAATAGATTTTCATTGGGAAAGGCATCTAAGTTCCAAAAGAATGTTTGACGCTCAACCCATGTATCTATAAATTGGAGACCACTGAAACGTATTCCATTCCACCGAACCATTGTGGATTTCATATGTACTTGCTAGGGCCCTACAATCGCTACCTAGTGGGTGCCAGGAGGGTATGGGGAAGTATAGGGATGGCCCCATGCTCAGGAAGCCTGCAGTAATCCCAAGGAGATGATCCATACATATACTGAAAACAATAACAGTATAAGGGGATGTTTGATGATATGCTCAGATGAATGGAAGAGAAAAATGGATTATGGAACATTAGAAAAGGAAAGCAATCTGCCATGTGGCTGAACGCTGGGGCTCATACGTCAAATGACCTGGATGAAAATGCAGCTTCCCTACTTCCTAGCCATGTGGCAAGTTACTTAAATTCTCTAAGGCGCTTAGAAGCTCTGGTCACTTTTATTGTCACCAACACGTTAGCTACTATTCTTCTCTCAGTCTGAGCGTGAAGCATCATTTCAACGATTGAGAGGGTGTGAGCTGAGACGCAGAAGTGGGCTGCGCGGCTGGGTGATAGAATCATAATAAATACCCTCCCGAAAAGCTCCGCAAAGTACTTTTGTGACTTCGTTGGCATTTATTTACCAAGCAAGGGCGGGAGGCAGCAACCCTGGAAACTTGATCCCACCCACTCTCCTACGTCCCGGCTCCTGCGCACCGCCCTCCGGAGATCCCAGCGCTGGTCCCCAGAGGGCGCTGCCGCCCCGCCTCCGAGCCCGGCCCGGCGCGCGTCCCCGCCGCCCACCCCGCGCGAGCGCGCGGTCCAGGTGAGGAGGCGGAGGCCTGCGCCGCCGCGGGGCGGGCTGCTCAGCCGGCGGGGCGGGGCGAGGCGGAGCCCGAGAGGCCGGGGCGGGGCGGGGCGGGGCGGGAGGCCGCGGGGCCGTGGCCAGACCCAGGCCAGAGGCGGGACCAGCCGCCGCCGTCTCCGTCTCGGTGTCCCGTCCCCCACAGCGCCAGGCAGCCGCCGCGGGAGAAGCGGAAACTGCCGGGTGCGCCGCACGGACCGAGAGCGCGCCGAGGAGCCGCGGGGCGGCCTCTGTCCGGCCCAGACCCGCCGAGCGGAGCACGGCGCCCCTCTCCCCGGAGCCCCCAGCCCCTAGCCCCGCCCCGGCCCCGCCCGAGCTCGCCGCGCACCCCCGGACCGGCTCCCGCGGCCGCAGCGCGCCCACCTGAGCCGCTCGACGCCCACCTGAGCCCGTCCCCGGCGCCATGGCGGAGCAGGAGAGCCTGGAGTTCGGCAAGGCGGACTTCGTGCTGATGGACACCGTCTCCATGCCCGAGTTCATGGCCAACCTCCGACTCAGGTGAGGGCGGAGCGGCGGGGCGCGGCGGAGCCTGCGCTGCCCCGAGAGGGGGCGCCCCTGCGGTGCGGCGGGCTGGGGGTGCGCGGGCGCGCCGAGCTCCGGGATGGAGCGGGACCGGAATGGGGTATCCCGGGCTCCTAGCCGAGGCGGGACGCCCCGGGGCGCGGCTGCACTGGCGTGTAAGGGGCGTGCTGAGCTCCGGGGCTGCGCCTTCCCGAGGGGGTGTCCCTGGGTGCTGTCCGGACGCGGGGGGCGGGGAGGTGCAAGGGGTGCGCGGCGCTGGAGGCTGCGCTTGGGGCCGAGCCGGCTGCTGTGCTAACAGGTAAGTGACGTGGGCGGGCCGGGTGACCTAATGGAAACAAAAGTAAAGGAAAATAACTTTAGGGAGAGTCGCGGCGGCCCCGAAGTCCTGGGAAGACTAGAGGGTTGTTTAGAAGAGGGACTATGGTCGCATCCCGGTTTCACACTTGCTTCTTTTCTTTTTCTCTTCCTTCTTCTTCTACCACTCCCCCCCCCCCCTCCTGGCGGGGTTCCATCACGTCATTCAGGATGCTTTGGAGTGATCCCTGAGCTGTCTGTTCCAGGACACAGGCTATTTTTTAGTTACTCTCTAAACGTAATTAGACACGTTTCCAGACATGGAAGAGACTGTTCGGCTTGCCAGTGCCAAGATAAACTGTCTGAATTTGACAAGGCATTCATGGTTTCAGTTTTTTTCAGGGAGTTATGGATGGAGCCCTTGTGTTATTGACATCCTTGAAAAGGCAGTCACAACTCAACACCCCCAAATGGGCTTCCAAAGACGAATTTATTTTAGAAAGTCTTCTTCATGTGATTATTTCTCTTTTGATAGAGTGATATGTAAGCAGAACTTTAAAGTGGTTTTTTAAAAAAAATAGAGTAAATAGAGTTTCAAAGTAACTGAGTTTTGGGTGTGTGTGTGTGTGTGTGTGTGTGTGTTTGTGTTTCCTGGAAGTTCTAGCCCCATTTCTGGTAAGGTTTATAGCTAAATATCACACCATAAGCTCATGAAGGGAAAATGGTAATCTAGGTTTTGGTGCTTAACTAACCACATTTCTCTGTACTAATTACCCCTGCTAGCCTCAATGTAAATTTTAAAAAATTTTTTTAATCTTTGTAATTGCAAACCCCAGAGTCTTCATGTGTTCTTGGCCAGATTTCCTTGTGTCCCAGAGGATGGAACAGGGACACAGGCCTGATTTTCTACACCTGCTATTACACACACACCTCAGTCAGAGTGTGAGAGTTTCCTCATTTGTAAAATAATGAAGATTTTCAAGATATTTCAGTGCTTATTTACATTCTCTTTTGCTTTCATATATCACTGGTTGCAGTTTCTAAGTGTGAGATTTGAATCTTAATAAAGATTATTAACGTGAGCCAAACTTAACTCCTATATACACAGAAGAGAATTTCGCTATTTAATTCTACCTTGTATAAGGTACTCTAGGAGGTAGTGTGGGAGCACTATAAGAGGTGCTCCTTACCTCTCAAAGAGGGGTCATGTCAGTGAAGACAGGGGAGAAGAAAGGGGGGACATCTGTAATACCTTCAACAATAAAGATTTTTAAAATCACTTATCTAAGAAATGTAACCTGTGTTTGGAAAAGAGCATTTACAAACATTTCAGTAAGATGGAATGAAGAGAGGACACTTGAGGGGAAAAAAATTGTCTATTGATTTAAATAATAGGTGAAGAATACAGAAGAGTTCATTAAGCCTTATGGAGCTTAGATGATTCTTTGCCAAGTAATTGTACAAGCTAATTGTTCTGGAAGTTCAGAAGAGGGAGATGCTTTAGGCTGGCCGAGAACACCATGTAGAGCAGGAGAGAAGCTGAGTTACAAAGGATGGGTAGGATTTGTCTAGTTGGAGAACATTCCTGGTGGATAAAGTGGCACGAGCAGAGGTGTGGAAGCATAAAAGCCTACTCTGGGTGATAGCAAATAAATTATCTGAAGGAGGGGAGGAGTTGCAGGCGGAATCACCAGCTCTCATTAGCAAGACCCTTGGCCAATGCCCAGGTTTCTAGGTCTGCCCTTACACGCACTCACCAAGTCAGCCAAGATTCTGGATGTTCAGATGTCCATGGGTGTCTCACTCTGTGTGAGTCCCTGACAGCTCTTCTAACTGGCTGCAGTTCTCATTGTACAGACTTAGTGACTGTTCATGATTTACTTATATATTGGCAGTAGTTTGTTCCCAGTAGCTGTAAACATAACCCCAGCTGTAAACCCTAAAGACCCAGGTGGAAAGCAGCCCTGTCTCTGGTAGTCTGAATTTCTTGTCACCCTGATACCCCTCCAGACTATTTCAGTGTGTAACTGCTTGAACTAATGGGCTCATGCTGTTGTGACCCTGGGGACACTTGTTTTACTTTGCAGAAGGTGACCAGACACCCACTGCAGATATAGGTGCTCTTATGTGATGGGATGTTTTCATCTCCTGGAACATGGGTGGTTGGGCTATACCATGTGTATATGTATGCTTTTATCGAGGCAAAATTTGAGTATATTTCCTTTCTCAGTAATAGGTATGCATGTGCCCGACCACCTGCCTTCCCTGAGGTCAGGCTTCTCTGTCCATCTGCAGTGTCCTGTCCTTTGCTCTCCTCCTGGCTCTTCTGCAAGGCCCTCTTTTGCATATATGGTCTGTGGCATCCACACTTGTCAGGCACTCAAAGCTTCAGTTGTTTCAGAGTTCTGTGTCATCCCAACCTGACTTTAATTTTTCCAACACGAGCCTCCAGCATACTGGTAGGCACATTTTATAGCGAGAATAAAAGGACCGTTTCACTTCCCTCTTTGACGCTTTTATGACATTGTCCATGTAGAATTCTCTTCCCACTTTGCTGCTGTGCTGGCCTTCTTTTTTCCTGTTGGGGCTAAAGCTTGATTTTTAGACATCTACTGCCATTGATGCAATTTTCCTCTTAGTGTTACTATTTTTAAAGGCAGGCTTAGGTGTGTATCTGTGCCTGTGAGTCTGGGTGAGGTAAGATAAAAGGGTGATGTGCATTCGTGCGAATTAGTACCTGTATCCGAGAAGGAGTTTCCGTTTTTATGTTTTACCCTTGTGCCCCCAAACTGCTAGTATCTTGAGGGCTACCACTTTTCCCACCTAGAGTTCTCTCGCTAGGGGAAATGTGTTCTGTTTATTTGCTTTTACTCTTGGTGGAGTTGGAGGTGCTGGCGGTTTTGGCTGTGGTGGTAAACTCCTCACTCCATTGTCGAGGGTCTGTGCCCAGAAGTAAGATTCCTGTACAGGCACCTCCTGCCTTCAGGGTCAGGCCTGGCTCCTGCCAACAACCCTAATGACCACTTGAAACCCCAACTGTGGCATCCCCCCAATACTCTGCTTTCCTCCTAGCTACGTCCTTTTTGGACTTGGAGCTCCGTGGTTCCTTTTCTCCTTGCTTGGGCCATTCCTGTGCTCCAGTTTTTCCGGCATTCACAGCGGCTTTGCACCCTCTCGAAGGGAGACTGCCGGGGGGGGGGGGGGGGGCGCACGTGGAACACCTGGTCCTCACTGTGCTCTTGCTCCGCACTTAGCCGTCCACGTGAAGGGAGGAATGTGCCCTGCTGCCCTGGAGTGGGCTCCAGCCGAGGACGGCGTCCCCGAGAGCCGTGCTTTTCATTTCATGGGATGAAGAAACACATCTTCGTTTCCCAAGTTTGTTGTCGGTCTGTTTTAAGAATAAGGGATCAGCTCAGCCTTGTATCTTGGCTCCTTGGCAATTTAATTTTTCCTCCCCTCTCTTCTTATTGGCTTTTCTCTTCCACAAAAGCAGTCATTTAAAGCACCGTGTTTGCCAAAGCTACAGGCAACTTCTCACTTTTAACCTAACACAATATGTCTTTTATACCTTTGCTTGGACCAGGGTTTCCCAGCCTCAGCACTATTGACCTTTTGGGCTGGATAACGCTCTGTCCCGAGCCTGCCCTGTGCATATAGGATGTTCAGCAGCATTCCTGGCCTCTAGCCCCCAGGTGCCAGTAGCACCATGCCCCTCCCATTTGTGCTACCAGAATGCTCTAGGTATAGCTAAATACCCCCGGGGGAGAGGGAACTGTCCCCACTTGAGAACCACAGGCCTAGGCTGTTCTCACTCTCTTGGAATGTTCTCCTTCCCTCATCTCTGCCCTCCCTCCCTCCCCGTCACACTCAGGCATTCATTGAGAGGAACCCTCTTTAAGAAAAGGAACATGAATTATTAATGCAATAGTAGATACAGGGCTTGGGAAGGGGACAGAGCAAGTGCGTGGTTGTCATGCAGGTGCCCCTCTGGTCCCCTTGTGTTTTCTGTCTTGCTGCAGAATTTGACTCCTATCTGTTCACTACATCTTTTTTTTTTTTTTTAAATCCTCACCTGAGGATATTTTTCCATTTATCTTCAGATAGGGAGGGAGAGAGAAACACTGACGTGAGAGAGACACATCAATTGGCCTCCCGCACGACCCAGAGCAGGGACTGAACCACAACCAAGGTACGTGCCCTTGACCGGAATTGAACTTGGGATTCTTTGCTCTAACCGCTAAGCCAAACTGGCCAGGGCATGGTCACTGCATCTTAAAGTGGGTTACCTGAGCTGACTGTCCTTCATCCAGTGGAATCCTTAATTTTAAAAAGCATACAGTCTTCTGAAAAAGATTGTACTTATTTTAATGCAACTTAACTGTGGAGGAGGGGGCGGAGCGAGGTGTAGAATCAGTAGAAAGGCAGCGGACAGGCATACCCACACTCACCGCATAACTTCTGTCCTCTTTTTCTGCAACTCTTTGGTCATTTGGAAAATTTGGTGGGACGGAGGATCCCTCCTGCTTGCCAGAGGCAAAACCTTCGATACTCTGGGTGGTCTTCAAGCAAGTATAAACCTGCGATTGGTTCAGAGCGCTAGTTAGAAGTCGCTCTGGTTAGATTTATAGGAGAGGTGAATGGCACACTAAATCTTTTTGGCTTCCATATGAAATTCTTTGGCA